TCTTTGTACATGGAAGTCACAATCATTTCGACTCATTAGATGTCAAATTGGATGGCTTGGGGTGAGTGACAAAGTCCAAGAATTTTATTTTGGAACTTTGTGTCTATTCAATGACACACTCTTACAACTTCCCATTTTGAAATTTAAGGGATAAGAATAATTGTGACCTCTATGTATAAAAGATAAATAGTCTCTTTATAGATAATCCTATATATATATATATATATATATATATATATATTTATTGAGAGAGAGAGAGATAGAGAGCCATGTACCTCTGCTTTGAAGTCCTTGGGGAACTGGTCCTTGGCATTCCATAATATGTCGATTTCATCACGGTTAAGCACCAAGATATTTGACCGGATAAATGCCGTGTTGAACATCACCCTAAACATCATCTCCTCACGCTCTAGATCTTCATCTAAATGGATACACTCAAGCACAACATCGCCTTGTACTTGGCAATGAATATCCATTTTAACCAGTGCACAGTGCGGCTGCAATTGCAATAGTACACGAGGTCTTAATTCCAACCTATGGAATAGGTTTGCCCCAGCGCCGGAATGCAAACTTTCTGACTCATGGATCAAATTTGGCCTACTTATTTTCTTTGTAGAAGCATTAGGAGAAGCAGCAGCAGTAGTAGCTGTGTGAAATATAAATTTAAGGCAGAAAAATGGTAGATTTTGGCATTGCCCAAAGAATTTCAGGTGGCTTTCTGCATCAGTTTTAAAAAGCAAATGAAATTTCACGTGCAGTAGGTGACACAACAGCCAACATGTGAATTAGATTAGTTATCTCCATTTTCTGTTTCTTCTAATGGTGGAAATTCCAGCTGAGATCCTAAACATTTAGAACAATGATGCATAGGGAGTACAGTAGAAGCAGGATTCCCTCATATAAGCTTTAAAGAACAAAATAATAAGGACTCAGTATTACCTGTCTGTAATGTCGAACGTGCTTCTTCTGTTTTGACATGGAAAACCGAACCTTAGGACCCTTATTCGTGACTTTAGAGGGGTCCTGGCCGTAAACGCGTATGATAGGCCTGCAACCACCTTCCTCATCAAAGTTAGGAAGGACCCTAAGAATCAGGCAATCCAGAGTTGAGATCCTATCAGAAGGAGGCCAGTCTGAACCAACACTTCTTCTCGAAATGTACTGGAGATATCTCAATTGAGAAGGAATTGGGTTTAAAGGTGATAGGAGCTGGAGAAGCTCTCGTGGGGCTTGCTTATACACCATGTCCAGGGTCTTCTGCTCCCCCGTGTACTGTTTTCTATAAATCAAAAGCCCAGCAAGCATGAATGCCAAAACAGGCCAACCACCTCTCTCGCAATGCATAAGCAACACATTTTGCTGGCCTTCTAAGGATAGCCAGCTCTCGCTTGACCTCAAAAAGTGGTGGATCATCTCTAAAGGGAGCAAAGGGCAGCCTTCAAAGTGGCGGGGATAGTCCATCACAGTCATGTCATATTGAGATAATATGTCGGTGATTTGGCTTCGCTTTTCTCCCTCTCTAAAGTTGAAAACCATGAAAGACGCATCGGGGTAGTAGTCTTGTAGCTGCGCCACTATTCCTCGCAAGTAAACCTTGTACTCGTCTTCCTCCAACACATCTGTGGAGAAGCAACTGTCGAATACTGCACCATGCAAAAAAAGGGAAAAAGCCGAAACATTAACCCCCAATTCTGAAACTATGTTTCTCTCCGGTGTTACCCAAACACCTCATTATCCTTCTCATATCGGGTGCCAACACGTGTCCATACTTTGACACGTGTTAACACCTCAGACATCTTTTGAATGACAAAAATGCAGTTCTGCCCCAAAGTTGGAACTCGTGATGTCTTGAAGAAATGCAGTATTAAAAAAGTGTACCAACATGGGAATTGCATGTTTGTGTACAAATCAATGCAAATTTTTTGTTATATTATGTTTGTTTATTCGATATAAACTAAACTAGAACGTAACCCATGAAGCTCAAAGCCGGGAAGCTCCATGAGGGACAATAAGTTCTACTGCTGCAAAAGCTGCCAGGTTGTGTATAAAATATCAAACTTTAGTATATAAACTTAATGTAAAATAGCATTTGTACAGATGTTCTTGCCTTATTGGCATTTCTGGACTGAGCACTCTACACGTGTTGGACATTGTGTCGGTGTCCATGTACCATTGGTTTTCGCTATATTATACAAGAGTACTTCTCCAAAAGGCATGATACTCTAAGTAACATAATGAATTTAAACTTTGCACATTGTGAGAGCAAGAACAACCAAAACATAAAACTACCTACTAAGTTAAAGGAAATAACTCACATAAGAAGGTAATAATGAGTTCACCATGACAAAGTTCAGGAGAAGAGGAGTTCATGGGAGAATTCCAAAGGTTTGTACGAGTACCTTTCTTTTCAATTTGGAACACTACAATAGCATTAATCTCCCTAAAAAACTGGTTATCATGCAACAAGGAAGATGCATTGAATTTTCTAAAGTGCACCAATGGTGCAAGAATTCTGCTAAAAAATAAAAATACGAAAATGAATTACAGCTCTTTACATCCTTGGTTTTCACTGAATAAATGAAAACTTGAAACAAAACTTCAAAATTACCATAATCTCTATAGTTCTCAGGGTGCAAATGACCATGATTACCCTCATTGAGCTAGAATGACTGAAAGGGCTAGGTTTTCCATTGAAATGTATGCCTCTTAAATTCTAAGATGACACCAAATCTTTGGGAATTCACTGAACTTTCCAATTTCATTTTGACAAGCTTCACTCTTGTCCTCTCAATATATGAACTGAGTATCAGTCACTCCATTAGACCAAAGGTCATCGAATGAATGCACGACTAAAAAAAGTTCCAATGCAACCTTCCTCCGCTGGAAAAGATTATAAAAAAACTAAAAAATGTCAGAACTTACTCAAGTTGCTTTTTCTTCTTCTTCTTCTTTTTACTTTATGTTTTCCCACTTCCACGGTTACTTAGGATGCCTCTCGTCCGACAAAAAAAAAAAAAACAGGTGTTTTATGCATTACTCATAAAGCTTCTTCTTTTCTGTTCAATGATCAAGGTCCCCTAAGTTTCTCGTCTGAATATTGGTCCCCTAAGCTTCTCATCAATATGCAAGCGAACCCTAAAAGCAACCCAAGAACCCAAAATTCCCAATCTTAACAAAATGACAGCAAAAGCCCCAAAACTCCAGTTAATCAAGAAACCAAAAGCAATTACTCTTTGTAGCCAAGCAACCAGAAACAATAAAATTCACATATTTTGAGAGCAAAAATTCGATATTCCATACACGATTAACGGTGATTTCAGACACTCCAATGGAATCCCAACATAGTTTAGGGGATAGTTCATCCGAAATCACATCATCCTCTCACCTTACTCAATAATTAATAAGAGAACAAAAAACCAGAACCCAGAAAAAAGGGCGGGGGGGAGGGGGGGGGCGGAACTGATAAAAAATGAGATGATTCATTAGAGACAGAGAGATCATAATAACCCACCATAAACTCTCTCTGAAATCTCGAGAAGCCGGTCTGGTGGCTTCCGATAGAATAGCCTTCTGAACAGCGCCATCCTCAGAAGGCGCTGCTCCTTCTCTAGAATCCAGGCCTAATCCCTCTCCTGATTAACTGCCATTGATCAACCATTTAAAAAAAAAAAAAATTAGAATCCAATAGAAATTCAACTGATAACAACATGAACTAAGAAATGGAAACAGATAAAAAATAAGAAACTCAGAAAAGAGACGTTTAACCTCAAAAGAAACTCAACTGAGAATAGAAAAACAAAAGTTAAAGATTCTTAAGAAATTCAACAGGGGACTCCATGAATCAAAGAAATGGAGAAAAAGGAACAATAAGAAAACACTACAAAAAAGGAAGAATAAGAAACTGAGAATTACAGAGTTTATAGAGTACCTGATACAAAGACAGGAACCCTGGATCAGAGGGCGATCAGAGGGCGTTAGCCTTGATCAGAGACGATCGGAAGAAATTAATACAATTCAATTTTGTGTAAACAAATGTAGAGAGAGAGAGAGAATGAATAAAGAGGGAACGGTTAGAGAGAGAAAACGAGATGTAGTGTTTAGAGAGAGAAGTAATGAAGACAATTCAACTGTGCATGAATTATGAAAAATGATGTCAAAAGAGAGAAAAGACAGAGAGAGGAAGCGGGTAGAGAGAGAGAGAGAGTAGTAATGGAGGGTGGGAGCGTGTAGAGAGAGAAAGGAAGAGAGTTTTTTAGAGAGATAAAGTTGGACTGAATGGGGTAACATTCGGCATGGTTCACCTCAGAGATCCGCGGTGACAGGCCACGTGGCGCGCGCAGGCGAGGCGAGTACGTAGTGCACGCAATTATTAAGAAATAACCCGGTGATACTTTTAGAGAGAGAGACTCATTTCGAGACCATTTTAGAGAGAGAAAGAGACAACTTTTCCATTTTTTTAGTTTTTGTTACAGGAATTATTGAGGGAGGAGAGAGAAATTGGCGGGGAATTAGCCGGACGATTTTAGAGAGAGAAATTGGCGGGGGGATAAATTAGCCGGAGGATTTTAGAGAGAGAAAGTTTTAGAGTGAGAGAGATTAGTAGAGAGAGAAAGCGGAAGGAGTCCCTCTCTCTCTCTCTCTCTTCTTTGCTTTTGGTAGTGGTTGGAGGTTGGCTCTGCCGGTTGTCGAAGTTTTTGTTAGTTCGGACCATTTTACCCTCGCTTGCTTTTGTTGACTCGCTTTTTTTTCTCTCCGACCATGTATAAGAACGCGCGCATCTCTCTAGTTTCTCAATGGTTAAATATTACTAAAATATTAATTGATTCATATTAGTGAAGTCCTCAAATCAATAAATTAGAAGAATTTGTCATAATAGTTAACTATAAATCAATAAATTAGAATAATTTATCATAATATTTAACTACAAATCAATAAACTAGAAGAATTTGTCATAATATTTAACTATTAACTATTTGACTTTGCAGATTTCTTCGGTGCGTTTAAGCCATTATTCGCAAAATCTCCTGATCTAACCGCTAATCGTTTGGTTAGATCGGAATCGGCCACTGGCTGATTTTGGTTTTGTGCAGTTAGGGTGATCAATTAAAAAGCAAAAAAAGTTCACAAAAATTATATAAATTCTCTAAAATAAAGAATTTGATTTGTATTACATTTTTAAATATTCTTTATATTATGGTGAGGATTAAAAATTGTTTTGGTCATTAATACTCACTTTTATATTTTTTCATCTTTTTTAGAAAATTTTAAATATAACTTTTGGAAAATATAAAATGAGTTAAAATCTATTTTTTCATTAATTTTCAACTTCATTTGAATGTGTTTTGCTTTAATCATTCTTTATGTGCCTTTTATATTTTTTTATTTCTTTATATATTTTTTTAGCACTTTTTTTACCGTCCAGGACTTCTCGGTTAGAGCGGTTAAATATGCCAGTTAAACCGCTTCTAGACCCATGTTCGATTAACTGTTTTGGTTCGATTTTGCAAACACTGGTTCAAGCTCGCAAATGTTATTACACGAGCTTGAAGATCTACACCATCCACCAAAACTAGGTCCTGTAAATAATAGTCCTCTTAAAAAATGTAAAATTAGTGGTTCAAATAAATTTTAATTCAATTTCAAGATCCCTATCAAAAAATACACGTAATTTTTTTGAGTTGGAATGGCAGAATAAGTTCAAATGTCACGTAGTTGAAAAAATAATATATATATATTAGAAATTTCCCATTAATTTACTTATGTAATGATTGTTTAAAAATGGCGTTTCACATAAGTACTTTAAATATTTTGTTGATAATACTCAAAATATGACTCTTCTCTGTTTGCAATCCCATATCACTGACGGTATATAAGTAATTTTGAGATGCAAGATTAATTTTGAGCACTATTTCTATTAGCAAGTAAGGGATTATCAATAAATCGACTTACCATGAAATGATAAATTAATTATTTTTATTTTTAAAAATTGGATAAAAAATTTGAATAAAAAATACGGATCGGCAAAAATACTTCATATAAAGAGATCGCGAATATATCGGACTGGGCTTAAAAATTCGGAGTCAAAAAATCAAATATATTTAAAATATTAGAAATTTTTAAACTCTAAATATATATATCACTCAGTATATAAAAAATTAATAGTAGTGAGGGGTAATGATTTCATTCTATATATATCACTCGATATAAAAATAACCTCCCTATAAATATAATTTTCAAATATTCAATGTGATATATCTCTAAAGGAAAAAGTTTATATAAGGATGCAACCTTATAATGTAGAACTACAGATGCACTTCAAAAACCCATCGAAAAAGATAGTTTTAATGTTGAAAAACCATTTGATTGATCATATCGACATCAAGATGTCTCAGAAATAGTGCATTTTACAACATATTATCTACACCGTCTATTTTCAATATTTTTCATATGTTTATATATCTACTTGATTTTAACCATTTTTAAAATTTTATAATTAGATATAAAAATAGATTTTGAGATAATCCTAATAACATTTTAAATCAAAATTATATACCATAGTAAAATTTGAAGGTACACCTTATCTCTACAGCTACATGGATGCATCTATATGCCAATTGTACCCATCTCTAAATCATAAAATGATTATATATTCTATTCGTGAAAATAAGTATTGGGTAGGTGAATTCAATTTTCATCTTTCTAGAAAGACATAGTCTGCCCCATACTTGCTAACTATGGTCTACCCATAACCACCTGAAAAATATGCACCATATCCATAGCAGAGAACCAGGGACAGTTTCGGGAGAATAGAAATTTCATAAAACAAAAAAAGCTATTGAACTTTCCAAAAAACAAAAAATCGGAGTATATTAATAGAAATAATTTTTTGAAACGATTTTTTCAAATTTTGCAAAAGTTACATTTTAAACTTCTTCTTGAAAAGATCGCGTTTTTTTACCGATCTATTGAAAAAGTCGCAGATAAAATCGCTTTTCAAAAAAGCACGATTGTTTGAAAAAATGGCGATTAAATTAGCGACTTGCTAACTATGCCCTAGACTCGTACATAGAAATATTTGAACCTTTGAATGTTTTTTTCTTTTTAGTGGAGGGCCCACCACTTATATCTATCTTTAGATTGATAGATTATGCTTCCCATTGGTTTTGAATTCCAATTCAATATAAATATACATGACTATTTTTAAATTTTGATAGCAAAATTGAATTTATTGGTTAAGTTTCCTTTCTTTTATTGGTACGTTTGCAACAAAATATAAACATTATTTTTATTATTGAATTCTACAAAAAATATAACAAATTTTTAAGGCCCTTTATTTTCCCTTCCTATTCAGGCCAAAAACCTGGTCCATGTCAAATTCTTTTTATCAAACAACAAAAATTCACCGATCCAAAAATAGATTACAATTTGGGGAATTTTGCTAAGCATTAATAAAATTAAATTCAATTGGGTTTTTTTTTTTGGAACCCCTCATGGAAAACTCCATTATGCGTTAATCATTTTGCTTTTCATATTCAATTCAAATAAAAATAAAAATCGAGCCGTGAAAGTGAAACAATGTCTCAGCGCTCGCGCTTATGAAACACGTGCAAGAACATTCCCATTAATATTCTATATGCCAATATAACAAATTAAAGAATCTTGGATTTTGGACATATTTGATGAAGAAAAAAAAAAAAGAGGAAAATGCTTATGGAATTAAGAAGCACGTGGAGGAACAAGAATTACCTTATCAAATCAAGGGATTTTATACATGTATGAAAGCAAGGTTTAAAAAAAATAGATCGGTGATCTAGATCGGCCACCTCAAAAACTATATCAATCGGCTGGTTTCAACCTCAAAAAAATAAAAAAAATCACTATAATTTTTCAAAAATCTAGTTTTTAAGGTTTCTAAAAAAATAGTAGCAATTGCATTATAGTTGTTCATTATTGTATCAAAAGTATGTAAATATTGAAAATATATCTATTAAGTTCATTTTTATAGTTAAAATAACATTTAAAATGTAACTCGTGACAATAAAATGGAGGGAAAATTGCATAGAACCCCCAAAAACGGACTTTCTAAACAATTTATCCTAACCTAACTTTTCTTAGCAAATTTTTCCTCAAAACCATGTTTCATAGCAAATACCCCCCAACAAAAAAAAAACAAAAATAAAACTAAAATAACCCTCACTAACCTCACATTGACCATGGCAGTCCGGCACTTTACCATGGCGGTCTGACGTTTGGAAGAGGTGCTTAAGTCACTAATTTGGAATGGTATGGTACTTCACCGTGGCTGTCTGGCACTTCATTATGGCGGTCCAAAGTTTGGAAGAGGCGGTCCGGCATTTTTTTATGGATTAATGAACGATCCGGCATTTGTGAGCTACAATCCAGCAAAATTATGTCTACAATAAGCGGCCTTGCAGTGTACAGTTCTGGTCCGGCAAAATGGATGGGTCCGACAATATACAACCATGGTCCGTCGTTTCCTTTTATTGGGATCCGAAAATGTTTTGTTATGTACGGGGAAGTGTATTTTCGTCAAAAAATGAACTTTTTGTATTGGTATATTTACTATAAAACTTGATTTTTGGGGAAAATATGCTAAGAAAATTTAGGGTGGGTAAAGTGCCTAAAAAATCTACCTTGGGGGGTTTTTATGTAATTTTTCCTAAAATGAATCTCTCTAACTCATTTTATTTTTTATTTTTGTATTCACTTAAGAGTTTTGAATTTTAAAAGAAATTATGTGAAACAAGTTTAGTGAAATAGGTTATTAATAGATAGAAAAAGAGAGAAATTTAGTCGAATTGATTGTTTTTAAAGAAAGAGATAGAGATGCCAAGGGGAAGAGAGAGGCGAAGAATGGAGAGAGAGAGAGAGATGCAAGGGGAAATAAAAACTTATTCTAAATTTAGTAGAATAGGTTATTAATAGATAGAAAAAGAGAGAGATTTAGTAGAATTAATTGTTTTTAAAGAGAGAGACATAGAGATTCCAAGGGGAAGAGAGAGAGACGCAACGAAAAATAAAAAATTATTCTATTTTAAGCAGAGGCAGTGGGAGAGAGAGAAAAGATCAGTCCCCCATTGATGCATAAGGGAAACAAGTGCCACTATAAATTCAAGTACAATTTCACGTGGGCAAAGCAGGGGCTTGTGTACAAAAATGTTTTAGAGTTTTAAGTCTTGGAGTGGGCCCCCTGACCCTCTATGTTATTAAAAAAAAA